AGGTATAGGAGGTAGGTGTGATATTGATGAGTATCATGATAGCAGTTATATAATGATGATATTGAATATGTTATAGGGGGAGATATAGAAGGGTAGCGATATGAGGATATAGTAGTATAGTAAGGAGTGGTTAGGGTAAGATTGAGCTAGTATAGGGTAATTGTGTATATGGGTGGGTGAAGTGTTATGAGGTCATAGGTGTTAAGTATAATGTTAATGTCAGGGAGTGGTAAGTGGATAGGTGTATGGAGTACGGTTAGGTAGATAGTAGTAGATTATCAGGTGGTAGGCGGGAGCCGGTGGGGTCGGGCAGGGTGAATTGGAGTATGTATATATGTGTTATGTAGCATTCACGTGCTGGCCTGGGAGAGTATAGGTGGGCATGACAGAGGTGGCAGTGCGAGAACGACGCCACAGCACATAGCATACGAGCACGAGCCGATGCACCGCAGGTAACGACAGTCACTGGTGACACAGGCTGGTGCGAGATGGGATGCGTGAGGAGGGTAGTTGGGGGCCGCGTAGGGTCGGTGGCGGGTGTGAGTGGTGGGCGCGCGACGACCTCACACGGACACACGGCGCGTACTAGCACGAGGCACACACACGGACGACCACAGGCGACAAGGTATATATAGCTATAGGTAGATATGAGCGAGGAGGTATACTTGATGATAGTAGCTGGCATAGTGAGCGATGATATAGTGATATGGTTTCGTTGTATATATGGTAAGAGGAGAGCTACTATCATGGCGAGGGAAGGGTTCGTGACTAAGTAGAGGTAGGAGTATGGTAGTGAGCCATATGATTTAATATAATAATTATAATATATATATTATTAATAGTTATTATATAATATAGGTATATTATAATATATATGATATATAATGATATGTGTGATAATCAGTATAGTAGGGTGTAGTTAGTAATATAAGTATAGTCAAGGTATCTATGATAGGGTATGCTACAATATAGGGTAAGTATAGTAATAGATATAGTAGTATATATTTATATGATATTTATACATCACGATCATATATGTGTGTGCTGTGAGTTGGTGTGTGTGTGTGTGTGGTGTGTGTGTGTGTGTGGTGTGGGTGTGTGTGTGGTTGTGTGTGTGTGGTGTGTGTGTGTGTGTGTGTGTGTGTGTCGCGTGTGTGTGTGGTGTGTAGTGTGCTGTGTGTGTGTGTGTGTGTGTGTGTGTGTGTGGGTGTGTGGTGTTGTGTGTGTGTGTGGTGTGTGTGTGTGTGTGTGATGTGTGTGTGTGTATAAATATAATTAATATAGTATGTATATATAGGATAGTAGTAGGCTATAAGGTATTATATGTATAGGTGTGTATAGGTTTATGGTGAGTATATATATGAGGGGATGTAGTATGAAATGGGTTGGGTATAGCAGCTTGTTAGTATATGGTGATATGATATAGGTGGTAGTATCAAGTTAGTGTATATTAGTATAGTAGTATGGTTATACGGGGGGTATACATATATGTTTATATGTATATATAGAGTATAGGGTGTAGGTAGTAGTAGGTGGTAATGATTATTAGGTTCTAGGTGGTATGGATGAGTGGGTTGAGGGGGGTTAATGTATGGGGAGATAGTGAGTGATAGTAGTAGATGGCGTGATATATATAGTATAGTACGTATATAGTATAATGTATATGTATATATGGTGTATGTCAGCAGCAGCACAGACAACAGCGCACACAGACAACAGACCAGACAGCCACACACCACACACGACACAGCAACACCAAACCCACACAGCAGGTATGATATATATAGGTGGATATAGTATTATATATGGTATATATAGTATAGGTCTATGTGTGGTGTTAGTTATATAATATACGTATATTGATATAGATATGATATACGTAGTTGTAGATATGGCTGTGTGTGTGTGTGTGTATATTATAGGGGTATCTTAGATATTATAGTGGTTAATATAATATATATAGTATAGGTATGGATAGTATGAGTATATATAATAGTATACGTATAGCTGTAGGTTTATATGTAGGCTTGATATTAAGTATAGGGAACACCACACGAACTACACGACACACACACGCACACTACGGAGGGAGTATGTCACCGAAGTGGATTTACTAGAATGAGCATAAAGCGAAGAATGATGAACAGTTCAGTCGCAATGTGAATCTGTATACATCGACATAAAACAGACCTGAATGATCTCTAAGAAGAACTGCCTAGAAAACACGAAGAAATCAAGGACGCTGCAGGACATGAATTTTTCATACCATAAAAAGACCTGGTTTAGAGCTCAGAAAGACTGGAATGTCCTGTGATGAAACAAGAGACTAACGGTAATGTCCGGGATGAAAGAGGGATAAATGTCATGATTGGCTCTTGTGATATCTAGGAGTTATCAATGCTTGAATAAATGGTACGCTTAGGTGAAGTGTTGTTATGAACGAGATCCGACATGTGCCTATGGGCAAGAGCTACGGATGGTATGCCAGCGTATCAGCTAAGGTAGTGGTTGCACCTGCACAGCTCAGCTGGTGGAGGATAGCCATGGTTTGCTTATAGGAACCCGCACAGCTTTCGAAGCTCACGAGCTTACATGAATTTGTCATATCCATGGGGAGTCATACGCGGAAAGAGTCATGTTTTTTGGGCTTTCAGTAAGTGGAGTTAGGGTTTTCTGTGACTTGGCATGTGATGTCTTATTGAATGCATAATCTTAAGAGGCAAGCTGAATGACAGGAATTGTCCTAGATCTGTAAAAAGTAAAACGCATACATGAAATGTAGTTTTTGTTTTTTTTCCGCTTCGATTTTTTGAAACTAAATATGAACTGAAGCAGTAGAATGTGGATCGCAGAGCAGTTCGGTGGCCCTTCATACAAACGAACAAAAATGTGGTCCTTCGAAATTATAGGGATATACTCCGGGTGCTCTAATGAATGGTGGTCCAATATTAAAGGGAGGTAAAAATAAGGGAAAAGAAAGGCATTGTTGGCATGTTTTAGCTGTTGGGCAAACTTGGCATTTTAATGAGATGGAGTGTGATGCAGTCGAAAATGCTGGTGCGATGCTATAGCTCGATACATACGGCATGTACACTATTAGACATGACAGGGGGTGATGGTGTGTCGATTTTCAGAAGTTCGTTAAGGAGCTCAGAGCTGAGTGAGGTTGGAGGTAAGAGTATGTTCTCTGATATCTTAAGCTGCTAAGGCCAGCTGGAAAGAAGGAGGTGAGGTGGCGGATCATGATATGTCCAATGGGCGTGAAAGTTGAGCCGGTGGGAGAATCGTGTTAGAATAGCTAACCACATGAGCAAATGACTTTTGAGGAATTTAGGCCGCTATAGGCTTCCATTGTCTCCTAAAGAGAAGTCCTCAGTGTCTCAGAACGTTGTCTAATCTCTTTTGAAAGAATTTTCCTTACTCTAGAGCTGATCATTTGTCCGAAGGAGTGGTGCTGACTGCAGAGAACGGCAGGCAAATAATGATAGATGATAGTAAATGGGAATTGAAGAGTGTAGGTGACCACTGGAGACTTTGTGAGGAAAGTTATGTAGTGTAACTGTTAGTATGGAAGATAATCTATGAGAGGGTTTTTCTAATTATAGGTGATGCACGAAGTAGGGCTACCATGGCAGCGACTTTTAGCGAAGTATGGAAAGTCATTGTTTGTGCGTGTTTCATATATGTGTGGGCTACTGGGGACTAGTAACTGTTGATCATAGGCGGCTGGCCGCAGGTGAAGTGGAACTGACTAAGTTAAACGGTAGTGAAGTGATCTATTTCGCGGAAGGGTTAAAGAGTAATAAGGAAACGTGCTAATAGCAGAAAGGGGCAAAGCGAGCTAGTTAGATGGGATACGTAAATCAGAACTTTGGGGGGTCAAATTTAGTGGCCTGCAGTGGCATAGAGGTGGCGTGGTGGGGGGTGAAGAAGGAAAAATCAATTACGGCCACATATGAAGATTGGATAGGTAATTAGTGCGACAAGAGAAGGTGCGCTCGAGGGTTTGATAGTCAGCGTTTTGTTAGCGGGCTAACTTGAGTTAGCAGCTGGCTCGCATTGCAGAGAAATTTGAATACTGCGCTCACCGCTATTACAGGGCTCTGATTTTGGCTTGTGATGGTATGGCGGGAATTTGATGCAAGCAGGTTTATGGAGCGTTGTGGCATGGCCTAGTGGAATTGGGGTAAAAGGCCAGGCCCTTTTGCGAGTCAGTGGGAGGTGTGTAGTAGCATCATAACTGAATTTACAACCATGGACGGCTTATAGTCGTGCCGATGTTGGGCGTTGACTCAAAGTTTAAATATGATGCCGGCGCTTTTCGGCTGCGCAGAGATGGTAAGCAAGACGGATGTGGGCTGCAGAAAAGGTAAGGTTTTGAGTTTGACTCCCCTACAATAAACCTTTCATACACTTTCTCTTATGGCTACTAATAAGTGGTACTATATTTACACACCAATCTACACTAACATGTCAAAAAAATATGTAACTCACTTAAATATATCATATCAGGAATGTTTTTGACCGAAAATTCAAGCAGATATACTCCATAAAGTACCACAATGGTGGATGAAATTCAGTTTTACAATGATAAAAAAGATCAGAATACACAGCTTCATTAACAGAAAAAAATGATGAATGAATATGAATATCACTATCTACCTGACTAATCAACCCTTAAATATCAGTTGCTTTACTAAATCCATGATTTGTTGTGTTTGAATTAATGAGAACCATCTTATGAACACAAAATAATTACCACATACCTGATCAATCACCTGACAGAGAGCCATTTCTTGACAAATAAAAAAACAACCAAAAAAAACACTACACTCATGAACTCTTACTCTGGAATTCAAACCAAATGCAAAATCATGAGAATCTTACGTCCCTTTTATGCAAACAGCCGAGTGAATGACTAGGTTACATCACGGTCTGTGCGCATCATTTCCCGAAACCCCATTCTGGTAAACATCTTCAATAAACAAGATATAATTTACCTTGGAAGTCCCGACTCAGTGCCGTGTTTCTTCAGGAAGTGTCGTAGAATGAGTCGTTGCTTCAGGTCAAAGAAGGCGATTGCAGTTTCTCTGCTCGGTGGCGTCGTGCTGCAGGGGCAAGCGCCCTCGGGGGGTCCTGATCTTGCAACGATCGTCACTAATCTCGGCGATGTCCGTAGACAAGATACCGAGTATATTGCACGCTGAGACATAGTGGAACTAGCATTACAGGATACCTTTTTACTACAGGGATGGAAAAGAGTTGTCGCAACACAAACGAAGGATTTATTCTTGATTCGTGTGATATAAGTGCTGTGTGAGCCTTTCAAACGTAATTTCTAATATGTTTGTAATCCAATAATGGTAAATAGTCTGGAAATATGTATGTGAATTCTGTACATGCAAATGTGCAGGCACAAGTGTTGTGTGCACACACACAGCATGACCACACATAACAACCACATCGACACCTCGGATCAATTCTACTAGAAAAAATTCTGAGAAGCATGGCATAGATCGGTGTATGACGATTTTCACCCAATTAAGTGTCAGGTAATCGCGACCGTCTATAGATATAAGGACAGTATGCTGAGTAGGTCAGAAGCTAAAGGTCCTATAGGCTGGCTGGAATTGAAAGTAATTTTCTTAAAAGTAATTTCGATTATCTGCTAAATGTTGGAAGAAATGGGGTCACAACCTGATATTCATGGTAATCCAAATTCACAGTGGATATGGATTGAGCTTACAAAGTCAAAATA